TACATAAACATCGAGTAAACGCGTGTTCGACCGATGTACATGTGGTAACTTTAGTAAACAAATTCATAACTATGTATATTCGTTGCAATACGTGTTTTACAGAAGCGAAGTCTGTAACTCTCTCTTCTAACTTTATAAAATCTCCAACTCAGTGCAACTCATGTTGCTAGTCGCAGAGAGTGGGGTGTCTTAAAGCATTACGACGAATATTTCTTTCTCAATGTGCGTGTCATTATGTAGCAATTGACGTTCGATAAGAAACACCCAAACTTTCCACTCAAACGAAAAATTTTAACACTTCAATGCGCTTCATTGTAATTTAAAATCTTTTGTTCATGGACAGTAAAATTACAACTAGCAATTCATGATAACAATACTTAAAAAAGTCAAGTTAGATAATTAAGGATATCTGATCCTCAGCCAGGAAGGATAACTCTTAAATTTATTATTTTATTTAAAAAGTCTCAAAATGAAGCTTAAAATTGAGATCTTTTCGTGCAACAATTTTCATTTTATGCATCTTACTATGATTCAAGGTTCTTTGAAGTCTTTGAAACGATCTTTTAAAAAGTTAACATTTGTACCTCATAAACGAAAAAAATAAATTAATTTTTAGAGAAATCGAATTTCTTTTAGTCTAGCATTAGATACCAATGCTTATTAGCATGATATGAAATTAAACATGATATGTGATGTCTAGCAATGATAGCATAAGCTTTTTACACTATGTATTAAATGACAATTGAAGTAAAAAGAAGAACTAAAATACTGTATTAGAATAAAAAAGATGCAATTTTCTCCAAATGCCTGGATACCTATATTTTTCGATCCTAAATTATATTTGTTGATCAATTTTCAATTAAATAATGCATAGCTGATGTTTTTATTCGCATTTCCTGAAAATATATTTGAGGTTTGATAATTTTCCCTATATAATATGATTTACTATAATGATGAACTTTGAAGAAATTCCATGGGTAAATTCACGTTACTATCACCCTATGTGAAATCAGAGACATTTTTGTGAGCAATTTCAATTACTTAAAAGCCAATTTTCAGAACCTGAGGATTGGAGTACCTTAAGAAAAAATGGCAAAGACTACCTATGGGGTGTGTGATCCTCATATTCATTGCAAAAACTATTTTAATATTGGAAATAAAAATACATGTATAAACAGAAACTGCATATACATAATAAAATATTGGTATTGTGATCCGCTGGGCATGAATAGTAAAGCCTTAAGTTTACATAACCAATAATAGAAATATATCAGTTGGACACTTAGTTTTATTATTGTTGTTGTGTGTGGTTAAATAGTTTGTGTCACCTAGAAATATTTTGAACAAACAAAAATCTATGCTTTCGACTAGGGAGAGAGAGAGGGGGGGGGGGGTTGTCACGATTTACAGAGTCAATATGTAATTTTGCATCAGTGATCGAAATAGTGATCCAGCAGCTACTTGTAAATCACGGTTACATCCGCCAACAAAGGTGGAAAGTGGTTAATTCTGTTTTCATCTGTATGTATGTCTGTCCACAGTAAGTGTAGTACGGTTGACAACGGAATTTGCTCACATTTCAGGAAAAGAAGTATCCTGGAATCAATTGCAGCTTCTCGGGCCTTTGCCGGAAAGGCTCGAGAAGTTATTATTTAAAAAAAATGTAATGCTTTGAAATTTTGGTAATTCCGTTTTTGCTTAAGGTCTTGAGTCTTGATGATTTTTTTTTCCAGTTTTTGGTGTGTACAGATAATTTTTCATCGTATGCTGAAATATGGTCATCAATGTTTATGTTATGAAATCTCAAGTTATTTTTTGTAGAGGAAATGGAGAAAAAACTAAATATATAGAGTTTTTTTTTAAATCAAAGACATTTGCATGTATATCGTTAGGAAGTCAAATGTAGCCATGTTCATGTTGAAAATAAAATTTAATCTTAATACTCTATTCTTGTATAAGGATATGTACTTATTTAGTATAGTTTTCACCGAGGTAAAATATTGAGTTATTGCATATTAGATGTATGATTTTTTTCATGAATAATCATCTACTAGAGAAAGTCCGTCAAAACTGAATCAGAAATTTTAAAATCAAAAAATATAGTTCCATACTTTAAAAACACAATTGAGAGATCGTTTCCATTTTAAACTGAAAACAAACAAGGCACAACTTTTACAATATATGTTTTTAAAACAACCACCTTTGTTTTAACCTTTTGAATTTGAACGTAAAGGATTCAACAATCTCTTTGTTTGTAAAGTTTTTATCATAAATGTGGTTGATGTTTTCTTTAGTGTCTGCTTAGCCTAGGTATACAGAAGGCGTCTGACAAATCTTTTATGTTGGTGTAAAATTTCTTCTCTTTTTAAAATCTTGTATATGATATCACTTTTGTTAACTGCAGTCATAACTCTTAATATCTAGGTTACCTTGACGTTGTTGTGCAGGCTTCAACAAAAGGGATTGTCATTTATATAAATAGCATTAATTTAAGCGAGACAAAATTTGCCGCAGTTCATACTTACAAACAAACAGCCGAACCACTTCTACATATGTACCACTTCAAAATGCAGAAATGTGAAATAAACTTATCTCCCAAAGCAAGAATCTCTTTGTTAATAGGATGTGTTTCACTCTTTTCACATATTGGATACTCGATGTGCCATAAAAGATAGTACTGAAGGAACATCTTGCCACCTACTCGACAATTCTAATAAATTTAAACTCAACAAATCGATGGTCTGATTTTACAACATTTCCCTCCATTTTTCAACACTTAGATCATAAAATTTAATGCAGTGATTTTTTTAAACCTCTTTTATCTGTATTCTAACACGTTTTACCACTTTTATCGCAGAAAAGCGCAACCAGATTTGAGAAATATTGATCTCAATATTTCCATGAAGTTCAAGGTGAAAATTTCAATGAAGATACGTTCAAATCATGAAAAATGCAAAAGTTTTACGATCTTTTTACAGGTCGCACTGAAATAGTACCCAACTAACTTCAGAAAATGACGTCTATGGGAAATGCAAAAGTTTGGTTCTTTTTCTTTCCTAGAGGTCATGCTGATATTATCGGTGACATTCAAGATGAAGCACAAAGCAACAATAACAATATATAGGTATTAAAATACATTGACAACTACTTGTATATACATGTAGCATAGACAAGCACGCACACTTTACGACAGAAAACAATCACAATTTAAAATCATTAAACATTCATTTAAAGGCCTTGCTTATTGATCGATCTGATCACATTTAAAAGCCATTAATTTTTAGAGATGTATCACTGCATTAAATTCTCTCTTGAACACATTTTATATACTAGTATTAAATAGCACTGCATCATATTGTTTTTTTTTGTTTGTTTGTTTGTTGTTTTGTTTTTTGTTTTGTTTTTTTTTTGTTGTTGTTTTTTTTTTGTTGTGTTTTTTTTTTTTTGTGTGTGTGTTTTTTTGTTTTTGTTTTTGTTTTTTGTTTTGTTTTGTTTTGTTTTGTTTTGTTTTGTTTTGTTTTGTTTTTTTTTTGTAATTATAAATATATATGTAATTGTGTTCTATTACTATACCATACATAATTTAGGTAACCTGAATCACTTGCTTGTCGAGTGTCGTTCCCAAATTTTTGAACTTTTACAGCATCTTCACAGAAGCGTTCAACCGATTTCAAGCAAGTTTGGTGCATGTATAGAGCATATCGGCAAAGGGAGACAAAATTTGTGAATGCCATGGTCCCTGTCCCTCTGGGTTCTGATATGAGGGATGTTGCGAAAACCATCAAAATCCATGCAATTTTCAAAAGTCTTCTTCTTGTCGATTGGACATCCAGCAGTCAAACTGTTGGTATGAATATAACAAGCAAAATTGTGAAATTTATGGCCGCAATTTCAGGGATTCTGGAATTAGGGTGTGGCACTATTGATCATATAGTAAAAATGATCACAAATATGATTGATTATTATTGTTTTACGCCGAGTCGGCAATATTTCGGCGATACAAATATGAAAATGTTTAAATTCTTTAAAAAATCTTCTTTTCTCCCCCTTTTATACTTAGCAGACAAACGAGACGTGAGTTCATGGTTATAATGAACAACAGTGCAACCAACATCTAAAGGAAAATTTGCTATAGCAAAAACTATACTCAGAAAAAGTGGGGGGGGGGGTTCTAATAAAATTAGCCTCTAGTATTAGATGAATCTGAGTTTTCTGTCGACATTTTACAATTATATATCATGTAAAGGCACAATAAAAATAAAATTTACCCCCTCCCCCCAAAAAAGAAAAAAATAAATTTAAAAAAAAATAACCTTAAAAAGATAAAAAGAAATGAAAACAAACGATCAAAATGATATCTCTTGTCTAGGCTCTCTTTTTTAGGAGGCGGAGGGGGATATAGAAACCTGAATTTTCTTCTGAAATGCTAAAATTATCGATCATAAAAAGGCACAATAACAAAGTAATTTTAGAAAATCCATCTGTAGTCCGAGGTGATTTTTCTTGTGCAGTTTTTACAATGCAACCATGGAAATGTGAGAACAAAAGAAATGACGTTTTCCGACAAAACACAGCGTCATGACATAGAATTTGTACTTTTTATTTTAAAATTTTGACTCGTTTTTAGTTTATAAACAATGACATGTTATATATCATTTTAAAAAGGAGAAATTTGTCTATCATGATCACTAAACACCTCAAAATGTAATATATTTGACTTAAGGGTGCATGGTTTTTGCTTGACGGTCATCAATATATATTTATAGACGTATATATATTACAATACGGGTAAACACACATACACACAGACACACGCACAGATCCAGATCAATTAAGCATAACACATAATTGTATTAATAACATATAGTAAAACGATTTGAATGTTGTTTTACTATTATCTAACTGAGATAAATAAAGCAGAAAAAGTTGACTGAAGCACTTTTCCCATCGGGTTTGGTATTCAGTATATTTAATAAACAAGATGGCGGCGCCCATGATAATCATGATTATTTTGACAGTTTCATGAAATTGCTCATTCCTTTCATTGTCTTTCGTTCTTCTAGTATTTCACTTTCTAATAACTTGGTAAGTTTCCTAATTTTCTCCTACTTTGTAAATGAAATTAAATTATTTTCCTTATCATATTGTCATGCATACCAGTAATCCGAGATTCCTCTGACTCTAACCCCTGCTTTTATATTTTGACATGTGCAGGGGCACATGTCAAAATGTAAAAGCAGGGGTTAGAGTCAGAGGAATCTCGGATTAGCATACCAGAGACTTAAAGTGACAGTACGGCGCATCTCATCAAAAAACTGACTAGATAAAATTTTCCGACAAGATTTGGAATTTTTTTACTACTCATAAATGTATAAACTTTCAGAAAATTACAACTTTTACAATTAAATAATTTGGATTATTTCATTAAAATTAATAGTTATTTATGGGACGTAAATATATACATCCCAACGTGTTCGGGGTTCCACATTCCATGCTATGCATGCATGCGTAGTTTTCATAAACAAAACAGCATGGTTAGAGAGGGAATCCCGGTAGGCCTGCTACATTGACCAAGTCGACCAAAAAGAAAAAGAAACTGAAAATAGAACTTGAAAAAGCAACTTTCATGACTAAAATTTAGTTTGGGGATTAATAAAATTGCTGGATAAGGAAGAAACGGGAACTCGGCGACACTCACGCAGGGCTCTCGAAGGTTCTATTCGACAGGTTTGTTGATACTTGTTATCATTTCTCATTTTTCCGTCGCTTTCAAAGAAAAAAAATAGTGTAAACTTAACATTAAAAATACATCTTTGACTTATAAACATTGTTGCCATTTGAAATGCTAATTTTTTTTAACTGTGCAGTAAAATATTTTGTTTGACGTTTGCCGCGATAACGTATGATTAGTTGGTTTTTCCTTTCTCGGACCCCAATACAAAATACGTAAACATTTGTACTTTCAATTCTGTTAAATTCGCCTGAATGCAGACTAAAATCTTTACGATTATTATTTTAGATTATTTTATCAGAAAGTAATGATAATTTGTGTTTTTGAAAATTATAGACTCTACCGTGTAGGCACGTGCCGTTTTAGAATTCACGTGGTACAAATAAACAGATCTAAGATTGCTCCAGTTCGTACGACCCTTGATTTTCCGGCAGATTCTAATTACGTTAATTTTGTTTGAGTAGAGAATATTTCTGTTTCTCAAACTGCTTACATCAACTTTATACCTTATTTCTTAATGACATATTGGGTAAATTTGGATGAAATAGCACACATCTTGCAGCCGTACTGTCGCTTTAAATAAAAAATGTTATGTCTGTGCAGGGACCTATATACTAACTTACTTAGTATACTTAGTATAAAGGTCCCTGGTCTGTGTATGCACATGTATGTTCGTTCGCCCTAAAACGCGTTCTTCCTGATTTTTGTTTGCCCAGAGCGGCACTACAAATGACTGATATGCCCCGTAATCACCGAAATATACCCCCGAAGGAATCGCCGAAATGTCACCGAAATACCCTTGTTTTGATATTATTAAACAAAAAATATATAAATAAATATTGATGATATTAACTGTTCTAAAGCTAGCTGCTAATATCAGAGGGTCATCTAGCTGCAGATCTGTAGTTCTAAAAATATAGGGATATGGCCAGAGAGCTACAGTAGTGAGTACCCCCCATTGAAAAAAAATGTATATTTTTTACACAAAAAATGGTGCTGTTTCTGGAATAGCAATAGCAATTTATAGCAATTTGTTTTAAAATATTTAGTTTAATTTTCAGTTCTACATACCTTTCATACAAATTTTTATAAATAAAAGTATGTTCGATCTAAAGCTCATTCACCTAAGGTCCAATCACCTTAAATATTTAAGTCGACAAATTTTGTAATCTTTATTGATTTTATCCTGGAAACTCTGTCATCATAAGCGGAAAACATGCTGTGTTACTCCTTAGTTGCTTTTGATTTGTTTCTTGTTTGCTACACTTAGTAATGGACTTGAACATTGTTGTTAGTACTTAAAAGACAAAAAGTGCAGTTATTAGACTTCTAAACACCACTGTATAGAATGTGTATCACATCTGTATACATTACATCCAATGAACCAAACAAGACCTTTCTGAATGTACTATGATTTGACCTGGACGTTTGACATCAATAGTAGATTTCAAAAAATTTAAACTTAAAACATAGCTTTCATACTTGAAGAGACAGGGCTTTCATATTTTTATATGTGCATTACCTTTGCAGGGGTAGACAAATAGAATTTTTCAGTACTTGCATGCCCTCGGACATGTTACCCTTGTAAAAATTACTTGTATGCTTGTCCCACCTTTTTGTTTAATAATACAAAATTAAAACATAATTATTAACATTTAGGACCAACCTAGACCCAAAATCACTTAATAATTCTCCCATAAAGAAATTTAATACGGGGATTTTTTTTATTCTAGCTAGCGTGTGGGGTGAGCATTGGTTATTAAACTTCAATTTTTAAATACATGTAAATGTATATACATGTATACATATATACATACACACAACTTTATGATTGTGTGTGATCACCATTCAATACCTCCAGTTTTAATAACAGCAACATGTTTGTATGAGTATCATGTATTCACAGCATGAATTTTACATTTTGACAATAGAAAGGTCTAAAATCCTTTTCAACTTTTTTGACATGGCATTGATACCTGCCACGTTTAACGTCTTGTGTAAATTTTAACAACACATGAATGGGTTAATTCTAGAGGAGTTCCGACTGAGTATTTGATGTAGTGGTCAACTGCATCGAAAACAGACACTCCATTGAGATTCATTATATTTCAGAAGCAGTAAAACAAACATTTGAGGATATGTTTTTTAGCTCTACTGGTCAGAGACCAGAAGAGCTTATGCGATAGTAAGGTGTCCCTCATCCATCCGTCTGTCTAGCTGTCCAGCTGTCTGTCTGTCTGTTAGTAAACAATTTTTCAAAATGCTACTCCTCCTACAGTTTTAGTCTGATTTCAATACAACTGGGCACACAAGTAGACTACACTAAGATACATAATATAGTGCATCGGTTTTTGATTTTTTTGAGTGGTGTTGCCATGGTTACTAAAAATAGAAATTTCTTTGAAATTACTTTAAAATGCTACTCCTATTACAGTTTTGGTCTGATTTCAATATAACTTGGCACACAAGTAGACTGTACAATAATACAAAATACAGTGCATCGATTTTTGATTTCAATGAACAGTGTTGCCATGGTTACTAGAAATAGAAATTTCTGAGTAATTCCTTTAAAATGCTACTCCTCCTACAGTTTTGGTCTGATTTTAATATAACATGGTACACAAGTAGACTGTACTATCATACATAATTTAGTGCATCTGTTTTTGATTTCAATGAATGGTGTTGCCATGGTTACTAAAAATAGAAATTTCTGAGTAATTCCTTTAAAACGCTACTCCTCCTGCAGTTTTGGTCTGATTTCAATATAACTTGGCATACAAGTGGACTTCACTTAGATTCTTAATATTTTGCATCGTTTTTTGATTTAGATGAACGGTGTTGCCATGGTTACTAAAAATAGAAATTTCTGTGAAATTCCTTAAAAACGCTACTCCTATTACAGTTTTAGTCTGTTTTTAATATAAATTAGCATACAAGAAGACTATACTAAGATACATAATTTACTGCATCGGTTATTGATTTCAATGACAGTGTTGCCATGGTTACTAAATATAGAAATTTCTTTAAAATTCTTTTAAAATGTTACTCCTCCTACAGTATTGGTCTGATTTCAATCTAATTTGGCACACAATTAGAATACACTATGATACATGATATGTATTTCATTTTTGATGTCAGTGAATGGTGTTGTCATGGTTACTAAAAATAGAAATTTCTGTGAAATACTTTCAAAACCCTACTCCTCTTACAGTTTTTGTTTGATTTCAATATAACTTGGCACAGAAGTAGACTACAATACATTAAGATACATAATTCTATTTATTGTTGCATGTTGCAAAGTTTTAAATCCAAGTGCAACTTTGTTATACGTACAGACCAGTAGAGCTACAGTCTCATCAGAGACTTCTGGTTTGTTAAAAACTGGAAAAGCACTTGTCCACAGGCAGGTACCACTTATCAAATAACTTGCCTGCAAAAAAAAAAAAAATTGGTTGTCCCAGACGTTGGGCAATGCTATTTGTCTAGCTCTGCTTTGACAAGACTTTTACAAATATATTATGATTTTTGACCTCATAACATTGACCTTGAAGTTTGACATATAGCTTGATTTTTAAAAACTTTAATTTTGGCCATAAATTGTTCACCAGAAAATATTACTTTAAAAATTTAGCACTTTTTTGTATGACTGAGAGACAAGACAGTTACAGTATGCCATTAATCATTGCACTCCAACCAATAAGACTGCAAATGGGGGGAAGGGGAGCAATTTTCTGAATTTGCTAGTGTTACTTAAAAGAACAAAAATTGGCAAAACCAAATATTTGGCAACTTATTGACTTTTCCTCAGAGAGGAATGTTAGTAGAAACATTGCATCAATTTATATAAAACAGTCACTAGCTTTAAACACTGTGTCAAATTACATGTATTTCAGATTTCACATCAGGGATAGGGTTCAAGATGACAGCAGAAGATGACACAGATTTTATTTTGAATTACATGACAGAGGTGGAAACAGTGGCAGAGGATATTCTAGCTAAAAAGCAGCACATGATAGAACTGGACAAGAAAAGACAAAAGACTAGAGAAGCAATCAGGTTTAACTCTACAATGACAAGTTAGAAATTAGCATTTCATAAAACATTCTGGTACACATGTAAAATGATACTCATAGAGGAAAGACAAAAAACAATTAGGCTTTATTCGTGAAGAATTGAACAATAAAAAAAGGCCATTCAAGTGTATACTCACACAGGAAAGTGTATATTCAAACATATAATAAAAACATGCAATTTTTTTTTGTGATTTCATATTTTTGTTTCACTTTATGTTGTGTTCTATATTAAAGTGAATTGAATTGCATAATTTACAATGTTAAAATCTGGAAAACATTTCATGTACAAGTATCCATGTCACATGATTGGCTTAAATTGATAAAGAAAATGACCTTCACATATTTCTCTTATTTATCCCCAATAAACCCCTGAATTTAATGTGAATGACATAATTTTAGATATCTATCCATGACATTATTTTACATATCTATCCATGAACTATACACAGTGCATATGAGAGTACAAGTAAATGAAAAATGCCAAAATGAGTCCATTTTCAATCATGCTTATATGTATTTAACACTTTATCCTCAATAAGCACTGAAATTAACCAGTGTCTATGATATTCAAAGTTTAAATACCATATGTCCAAAATTATGACACTCATCTGAATTTGCAATATTGTTACAACCCATGGCCTTTGGATATTTTCACAGAATGGAGCAAATTCTTCATGCAGAATTGCCCCCAAATGATAATGGATACATTTTGTGATTGCATAATCATAAACTAACTTTGATGAAATACTTGCTGTTGCATATATAGAGGATATTCAATGTTTTATAGTTGGAAATGGAATTTATTTTACAAGTGTGACAGAATATTTTTAATTTTTTCACAATTGTAAAAATATATAAAAATAAACCTGTACATCTCACTATCTTTTTGTGATGAAGTTTCGTAGGCTGTGACATCATAGTTGAGTGGTTGTGCAACGTACATCATAGCTAAGCAATTATGAGTTTGAAAATTGTACATGTGGATTTTAACAACCTATACTTTGGCAGTATTAAGCTGTTTTAGAGTGATTTATTTTATCTATCCATGGACCTATATACTAGGTCACTGATCTATCTAACTTCAAGGAGTATTTTCTTTATGTTGTAATGCTCTTATTCAGTGAAGGAAAATTGAGAATTTTGCCACACTTTTAACATTTTCACAGTGAAAATATCACTTTTTAGCTCACCTGAGCTGGAAGCTCAAGTGAGCTTTTCTGATTACCCATTGTCCGTCGTCTGTCTGTCCATCTGTCCATCTGTAAACTTTTCACATTTTTGACTTCTTCTCAAGAACCACTGGGTCAATTTTAACCAAACTTAAGACAAAGCATCCTTGGGTAAAGGGGAGTTTAAATTGTAAAAATGAAGGGCCAAGCCCCATTCAAAGGGGAGATAATCAAGAAAAGCCAAAAATTGGGTGAGTCATAAAAAATCTTCTTCTCAAGAACCACTGGGCCAGAAAAGCTGAAACTTATGTGGAAGCATCCTGGGGTATATGTATATATTCTAAATTGTTCAAATCATGACCCCCGGGGGTAGGGCAGGGCCACAATAGGGAATCAACGTTTTTCATTGAAATATGTAGAAAAAAAAACTTTAAAAATCTTCTTCTCAAGAACCACTGTGCCAGAAAAGCTGAAACTTATGTGGAAGCATTCAGGGGTAGTGTAGATTTTAAATTGTTCAAATTATGACCCCCAGGGGTAAGGGGGGGCACAAGTTGGAATCCAAATTTTACATTGAAATATGTAGTAAAAATCTTTAAAAATCTTCCTGTCAAGAACCACTGGACCAGAAAAACTGAAACTTACATGGAAGCATTCTGGGGTAGTGTAGATTCTAAATTCTTCATTTCATGACCCCAGGGGGTAGGGCGGGGCCACAAATTGGAATCCAAGTTTTACATTGAAATATGATGTTAAAATCTTTAAAAATCTTCTTCTCAAGAACCACTGGGCCAGAAAAGCTGAAATTATATGGAAGCATTCTGGGGTATTGTAGATTCTAAATTGTTCAAGTCATGACCCCAGGGGGTAGGGCGCATCCACAATAGGGGAATCCAAGTTTTATATTGAAATATGTAGTAAAAATATATAAAAATCTTCTTCTCAAGAACCACTGGTCCAGAAAAGTTGAATCTTATGTGGAAGCATCCTGGGGTAGTGTAGATTCTAAATTGTTCAAATCATGACCCCATGGGGTAGTGCGGGCAACATTAGGGAATCCAAGTTTTACAATGAAATATGCTGTTAAAATCTATAAAAATCTTCTTCTAAAGTACCACTGTGCCAGAAAAGCTGAAACTTATGTGGAAGCATCCTTGAATAGTGTAGATTCTAAATTGTTCAAATTATGACCCCCAAGGGTAGGGCGGGGTCACAATAGGGAATCCAAGTTTTGCATAAAAATATGAAAAAAAAAAAAAAAAAAAAAAAAAAAAAAAACCTTTAAAAATCTTCTTCTCAAGAACCATTGGGCCAGAAAGGCTGAAACTTAAGTAGCAGCATCTTGGGGTAGTGTAGATTCTAAATTGTTTGAATCATGACCCCTGGGTATAGGGCGGGGCCACAATAGGTACCACAAGGGGGGAAATCAGGTGAAAAACAGCAAGGCCAAAGTTACTCAGGTGAGCATTGGGGCCCATGGGCCTCTTGTTAAATTTTTTTTCTGTGAAAAATATCAATTCAAAATTATCACTTTTCTTCACTGAAAAAATTGCAGAATTTTAGTCTTGTGAATGTAGTAAGTCTAAATCTTTTTCATAATCCTCATTGTATTTTTAAAATGGTGTTTGAAGTGGCCATAATCATAGAAAAAAATGATTTATCAATAATCAACAACAAAGTTTAGTTGCACAGAATGTACCGTATATACTCGCCTATAAGTCGATTTTTTGGGAGTTAAACTTTGGTCCAAAACTTTTTATCTGACTTATACATGAATTATAAAAAGATTGGTATTTCAGCTAATTTAAACTTTAAAAAATACAACCGACTTATAGGCGACGAGTATATACGGTACTTCTGTGATGTAACAGTTTGATTTTGATCTAATAATAGGGGAGAATGAAAAGAAATGCATCTTGATTTTATTAAATATACAGCTTATCATTTTGAAGGGTGCTCCAGAAAGATAAAGTCTCCAGAAAGAAATGGGTTTGCTTTGGAAACATGTTCATTAAAATGCCAACCAAAGAAACAAAGAAACTCCTGGAGAAAGGTAAGATAATGCTACTAACACTACATTACGGTAGTTGTAGGCATGCACTTTGGATTTTATAGACATTTTGTAGACAAACTTTATAATCAGGTTTTTAAAAAGTTGCAACAGAATTTAAGTCTAATATATTTGTAATTTCCAGGATCATGTTGATTAATGGGGCGTTCTCTGTTCTGTTTAACAAAAAAAAATCTGAACATGTTGCTTGTTTAGAATTATTCATTTCCAAGAGTTGTTTCTCTTTAAGTGACTTGTCGCTTACTAACTAGAACATCAAATAATAGATCTATGATTATGACTCATGATAATTTCATAATAGATAAGTTTTAAAATGATATTGGTGCTGAAGACAAAATTAATCAATTTACATGATAAATCCAAATTAAGGCCATGGAAGAAAAACGGCCTTACCATAATAAAACAAATTTTGCAGTGTACTTCAAAAGTTTTATAGGGTTTAATTTAAATACTACATTTAACAGGAATACATGTCAGACATGTATTTACATTTGCTAATATTTCAATTGTCATTGCAGTAATAACAGTGAATAACTTGCTAGTCAAAATAGAGGTTATAAATGGGAAGAATAGATCAAAATGTCAATTTGTTCATGATATACAGTAGATTCATTTTGTGCAATTAAAATTTTACTGGTATGATGGGACGTAATTTAGCGAGTAACTTAAACATAGAAAAGTTTCAATGAACCAACATGTTGACAAGGTTGTGGGGATGTCAGTTCATGGGTATTAGAGAAGCTAGCTAACCAACGTGTACGTGTAGCAGGGGATGGAAGTTTGTGCATTACATTTTCTATTTTGCTATTGACGAAATTCTACACGTATCCACTTACGTGTAAATTGCCGAGTACATGTAAGTCCAAACTTACAGCATACATGTATGTTTCCTTATCTGCTGTTGATTTCAATAAAAGTGTGTGTTTTTCTAAAACCTAAAGATTTGATGCAAATACATGTACTGATATAAAGAACTAAACCTCTATTAATGGAAAATGCAATTATACAGTGTTAAATACACAACATTCAGATTTTAAAAACAGGCTTTGACGGATTAAAATTATTAGAGCTCTTTTCAAATTATTTCTTATAAATATATTCATTAAAAACAGTGATATACATAATAGATTTCATGTGCTTTCTAAAGATTTTAATGATAAGGACTTCTACATTTAATACACTTACAAGTACACATACACGTTATACATTGATAAACAAGAAAAATAATGCAAACGTGTATTTGTAATTCTGACTTGTAGTTTACACGTACAAATACATATACAAGGGAGCTTGCTAAACCTCTTTAATATAAAGGGTGACCTTTGAAAACCATGAACATTGGTCCCCCACAAACAATGATGATTCCACAGTGAATGAAACAAGAGTAATTATCTTTCTTAAAATCAAAATTAAAAATAATTGTATTAAAAGGCGAGTACTTCACTTTCCTTCTTCCTAAAATTATTGTTTTTAACGAGAGCAAAATTGCACATAATGACAAATATCACAAAAGGTGATGTAGGACATAATGACAAATCAGTGTATGCATGGTCATTGAAATTTGTCTAAACTTGGGATAATACTTAATTATAGAGACCTCCCTTTGAAAAAAAAAATCTGAATAATCAGAAATTTTTTCCAAAGTAAGCTCTGCAAGTTATCTGGTACACATCTTTAAAGTTTTCCGACAAGCAGGACTAATCAAATATGTAAGAAATGCATGAACTGAAAAAAGTTAACAAACTGTATTGAAGTTTTTAGTATGAGTTTTTGACATTAATCAGGACAGACATCTCATGTTTATTTTTAAAAAACAATTGCATCAGTTTGTGGCAATTCTTTAATTTAGTATTGGCCAGAAACTTGATAAAGATCAAATCTGAGCCAGGTGGTACCCTCTACTGTTAATACATGAGAATGACGGCAAATTCAAACAAGCGGGAATTTTCATGGAAGTTAAATTACTTAGCAGTGAAGTACCATCTCACAAGGTGATGCCCTAAACTGTGGGTGGGGGGGGGGGGGGCTGATAGGAGGATGTGTTTTTGAATCTAGAAGGTCTATAATCATCAAAATAAGCTGAGCATCATTTTCCTGTTAATACATGTAGCACAAATACTAGTAAACCTGTACTAAAAGTTATCACACAGTTTTAAACAGAAACGAACACTTAGCTACATTTTTTTTGGACAACTCTCATACCTCGTAATATTTTTTAAACAGAAAACCCAAGAATTATTTTTAGCTCACCTGAGCCAAAGGCTCAAGTGAGCTTTTCTGATCAAAATTTGTCCGTTGTCTGTCGGCGTCGGCGTCGTCGGCGTCGTTGTTGTCGTAAACTTTTCACATTTTCATCTTCTTCTCAAGAACCACTGAGCCGATTTCAACCAAACTTGCCACAAAGTATCCTTGGGTGAAGGGGATTCAGGTTTGTTCAAATGAAGGGCCATGCCCTCTTTCAAGGGGAGATAATAAAGAATTAGTGAAAAATTAATAGCATCTTTTAAAAATCTTCTTGTCAAGAACAACAGAGCCAGGGAAGATGAAACTCATGTGGAAGCATTCTCAGGTAGTGTAGATTCAAGTTTGTTCAAATCATGACCCCTGGGGGTAGGGTGGGGCCACAATGGAGGATCAAAGTTTTACATAGAAATATATAGGAAAAACCTTTAAAAATCTTCTTCTCAAGAACAGCAAAGCCATGATGAGTCATATTTATATAGAAGCATGCTCAGGTAGTAAAAATTCAAATTTGTTCAAATCATGACCCCCGGGGGTAGGGCGGGGCCACAATTGAGGATCAAAGTTTTACATAGAAATATATAGGAAAAATCTTTAAAAATCTTCTTCTCAAGAACAGCAAAGCCCTAATTGGTCATATTTATATGAAAGCATCCTCAGGTAGTGTAGATTCAAGTTTGTTCAAATCATGACACCCGGGGGTAGGGCGGGGCCACAATTGAGGATCAAAGTTTTACATAGAAATAAATAGGAAAAACCTTTAAAAATCTTCTTCTCAAGAACAGCAAAGCCATGATGAGTCATATTTATATGGAAGCATCCTCAAGTAGTGAAGATTCAAGTTTGTTCAAATCATGACCCCCGAGGGTAGGGCAGGGCCACAATGGAGGATCAAAGTTTTACATAGAAATGTATAGGAAAAATCTTTAAAAAATCTTCTTCTCAAGAACAGCAAAGCCATGATTAGTCATATTTATATGGAAGCATCCTCAGGTAGTAAAAATTCAAATTTGTTCAAATCATGACCCCCGAGGGTAGGGCGGGGCCACAATGGAGGATCAAAGTTTTACATAGAAATATATAGGAAAAATCTTTAAAAGATCTTCTTCTCAGGAACAGCAAAGCCTTGATTGGTCATATTTATGTGGAAGCATCCTCAGGTTGTAAAAATTCAAATTTGTTCAAATCATGACCCCTTGGTGTAGGGCGGGGCCACAATGGAGGATCAAAGTTTTACATAGAAATATATAGGAAAAATTTTAAAAATCTTCTTCTCAGGAACAGCAAAGCCCTGATTGATCATATTTATTTGGAAGTATCCTCAGGTTGTGTAAATTCAAGATTGTTCAAATCATGACCCCCTGGGGTAGGGCGGGGCCACAATGGAGGATCAAAGTCTTAAATAGAAATATATAGGTAAATATCTTCTGATGAAGAACTGTAAAGCCATGATTAGTCATTTTGATATGGAAGCATCCTCAGGTAGTGTAAATTCAAGTTTGTTAAAATGATGACCCCCCGGGGATAGGGATGGGCCACAATGGGGGGTCGAAAATTTTACATAGGAACATATAGGAAAATATCCTCTTCTCAAGAACTGAAAATCATGTTTAGTCATTTTGATATGGAAGCATCCTCAGATAGTGTAAATTCAAATTCGTTCAAATGATGACCCCTGGGGTAGGGTGGGGCCCAATGGGGGATTGAAAGTTTTACATAAGAACATGCAGAAAAAATATTTCTTCTCAAGAACAGAAAAGCTATGTTTAGTCATATTGAAATGGAAGCATCCTCAGGTAGTGTAGATTCAAATTTTCAAATATTGACCTCTGGGATAGGGAGGAGCCACAATGGGGGATCAAATTTTTACAAAGGATTATATGGGAAAAATTTTTCAAAATTTACTCAAGTACAACAAAGCCATTTGTTATATTGACATGGAAGCATCATCAGGTATCCCCCCCTCCCCCCCCCCCCCCCCCCCCCCCCCCCCGTAACCTTTTCAATACTGAACTGATTTGTGCTTTTGTCTAGCCAATGTGCTCAGGTGAGCGATGTGGCCCATGGGCCTCTTGTTTTAGATATCGATATGCTGGGAAAAAAAATTAAAAATGCATTCATCATAAGTATAAAATAATATTGCATGGATATATTGGTTTTGATAGTATATAAAATGAACAATTGGAGCAATGTTGATGCCAGAAAATGAAGAGCATAAAACACAGTTTGTGTAATACAGTATAATAAAAACCCAGTAGAGAGGAGCTCAGTATTAATTAAGTCAAGGCTGAGTTTAAGGGTCAGAAATAAAGGAAGTTTTGTACTGTTGCAAGGCTGTGATCTGAATAAGAATGTGTAATTATGAAGCATGTATAGCATCTTTTTAATAAATATAACTTGGTATGAATTAATAATAAGGCCTTCATTTCATTGACCCCTGCTTAACATTCATTGTTTTATATTTCCCTCCAAGAAAATTTTTAAAAAAAAAACATATTCTCTGGCGAATATAATGCAATACAGATGTATTTGGTTGTTTTAAGCTGCAAGGTATAATTCATATATGATAATAAAGTAATGTTGTTCTTCTCAAATAAATTTTTTTCAAATTTAAACATGACGGGAGATGTCAAACTGATCTTGCAATGAGTGGTTACTTTATATCTGGTAATGATATTGACATTATCTTATCTGGGAAATTAGCTGAAAATGTCACACAAGGCTTGTACTGATTTAGTTCTAATGTGTTCAATATTCTCATAAAAGTCTTATAACGATGAAATATTCAAGAGATCAATTCTGAAAAATAAATTTTTACGTTAGGATTACATGTAGTGAAAATTGTAGAAAAAATAAATGACCGATAAATAATGAACATACGTAAGAACTTGTGTTTTTAACAAATTGCCATGTTCAATAAGATCACTTTTTCATTTTTTTTTTTTATTTCAATGGAAGCTTTAAGGTGCCTGAAATTCGTGATGAAAATGTGCATTTTATGATTAACTAAAACACTAGAATGCTTAAGATGAAGATGAAAAAAATCAAAATAAAGTTCAAAAGCATTAACATCAATAATATGCAAAGTAAATTTATTAGAATCTTTAACTGGTTACCCTCCTTCATGTCAGTCAGGCGCTTTTGATTTATGTTTCTTTTACATGACATATAAATTGCATTAATTTTTTTAGGTTTTTTTTTCTATTTTATTGTTGAACTCAGAGTAATTTGTAAATGTTCAACTTTTAAATGAAATGTGGAGATAACGATCAGTTTTCAAGCTCAAAAGTCCATTCAATCAGGAGTAGAGCAAACATGGCCCTCTAATACATCAGAGGTTGGATCAAGTGCCATGGAGGAGTGAACATCCCCTGCCGACCGGTCACCACATATCGAATCAACTGGGAGACATAAACCCCATATGCAGGTGATAAGGGTATATTTCTACATAAATAAGGGAAGTTGACGATTGAAAAGTTGAAGTCATCACATTTATCTTATCATAAAGCTTTTTTGTTAGATTACCATTAACATCTTTTTCTAGTAAAATATCCAGATATGAAACAGATATGTCAGACTCTGTGGTATCTTTTATATTAAGCTCACTGGGATAGATTGAGTGGACTAAAGTAATGTTAAAACATGTACAATGTAGCTATTATTAATTGATCATACATTGTCGATATATCTAAATGTCGAGCTGAAGGCCACAGCAAGTGTTTTCTTCTTTTTCTTGTATAAGATTTTGTCGAATGATTGAATTCTTCATATGATTAAATGCTTCGTATGAATACAAAAATAGGTCTGCTAATAATGGGGCACAGTTGGTACCCATGGCAATTCCGACAGATCGTTGGAAGACCTGGTCTCCAAATCTATATAGATATTTTCAATCAGAAAAACAAAAATATTTAGGATTAGCAGTCAGATCTCTTATTCTTTCCCTCTTTATCTTAATGTGTATTTAGCAAATGATACTTTTCTTCATCAAATTAGAAAAGACAATGAAATTGTGAATAGATAAAAATGGCCAGTGGGGAAATTCCTGAGAAAACTGTAGGAACACTACTATATTAAAAGCTTAATAACAGCATAAAAATGATTATAGCTTTTCTGCAACATGTGAGAAACCACTGAGTGTATTTTCTCAATTATAACCACCTGTGTAACAATTATATCATTATGTTCTATTATCAAAGGCATTATGCATGTGTTTAGTGATGTAAAGTGTTTTAGCTTCCAATACCTCGGTCATAAGGTGAAACTGGGGATAAAGAATTCCCACATGGTTAATGAGATAGTAATAGGGATTTGTCTGGATAAAGAAGGTTAAAAAACAAATAATGACATTTGAAGAGGTGGATACACCTTGTAATTTGTAGGATCAAAGCTGTAAATTCTACATGTTAAAGAAAAATGAATTGTGTATGAAAGGGAACAACATTGATTTTTTTCTGGCATAAAATAAACAGTATTTATATGAAACAGTTCCGCGAAATCTCTGTTGAAGGCAAATTGCACATTACATGTATAAATATTTTTTTGATATGCAGATAAAGGTGATCTGCATAATTTTGTTATATATGTATATTTGTAAATAAAGCTTCCACCTTTGCTATTATATTTTTATTTAAAATACCATGAGTGCCCAGTTGAATAAAACTATTTTCCTGTCAATTTTTTCTTTTCTTTTTTTAAAAAGAGTTTTACTAAGGATAGATAGTATTTATTTCTAAAATAAGAATGAATTTCTAAACAATTCTGCAATTTTCTTTGTTCACTAACACCAACTCAAGCATTCCTTTTTCACTAACCTTTAATTAGACATGTTGTATGTATATAATACATTATTGATAATTGAAGGATAGGTTTGGAATTTGTAGCACATTAAAATCATAGAGATGAGTGTTAATTTGCTCTATCTGAACAATTCGGAAGCTACATGAACAATTTATTTGAAAATCTCTATTCTTCATCTTGTCAACTTGCATTGGAACCATGTAACAGCAATTCACATGGGAAAACTTGTGAATGATTACATCAACAAATATTTTGATTAATGTAAGGATATGTAAGTTGAAAGATGAGTCACTTTGTTTTGCTAGTAGATAGATTTTCTGATCTTTAACATCTTTTCCAGAATATGTCATCAGAGACACTGGTCAGTGCTTTATTGGTATATGCTTTCCCACTTCACACACGTCCAGTACACATATCAGATCTCTGGTTTTGTAAAAGTGATATTATCTGCAGAACTTTTTTTTGAAGTTCATTGTATCTTTTGTACACATTTTAACAGCACATACGTAGAGAAAATACTGATATAACCCTGAACGTTTTCTTTGGATTAACATTTTTATTGTTTAAATATTAAATCACTGCAATGATTGTTTTTTTTTTTAATTCTTCTCATCAATCTAAGGTTTTGATAAAATGTTTTGCCTTGGCTACTATAAAAAATCTCTGTAAATCTTTCAGAATGCTACTTCTCAAACAGTTTTGTTTGATTTCATTAAAACTCAGTACAAGTTTGATAAACATCAGGACATACACATAAAACTTATCTCAAGTCCTAGCACAACTTTTCTTGACCCAAAATCGAAGATTTGGGAGTATATAGTTTTGGTCTGTCTGTCTGTCTCCACAAAAACTTTAACTTTGCCCATAACTTTTAATTGGTCTGAGCCAGGGCTTTCATATTTTATTTGCATAGTTCATATGAAAAGATCTAATGACCTTGACCTTGGAGTTTGACCCACTTTTGAGAAATTTTACCTTACTTCTACCTTGGCCATAACTTTTGAATGGATTATGTTAGAGTTTTCATACTTCACATGTGTATTCCTTGTAACATGACCTTTCCTTGGATACCAGGTTTTGTGACCTCTTAACCTTGGAGTTTAACTTACTTTTGAAAAACTTTAACCTTTTCCTGACTTTTGAATGGTTGGTACTAGGGCATGATAACCATACTTGAACTTTTTTTTGTGATTGATTTGTTATTGATTTGTTTATTTTATTATTATTATTTTGGTTATGACATGTATATTTATTAAATTATATAATGACATGTATAACTGAGAAAGTGTAAGAACATATCATAAATCAGTACTATATTGCATTGAACAAAAAAATTGTTATTGTAAGATCTAGGGCTGTATCCCAAATTCTTTTGATCACACATAGTATGACCTTGTGAAATACTTGCTCCTCTTGATGACCTATATTTTAAAGGCATCCATTAACAACACAACAGCATGAAATCCTGCAATTAATCAGCTAAAATAAAACGTGACACTGAATTAAAACTAGGATGCTTCATTATTTGAAGAGAAATCAATAATTTGGTGACATTCTGTAACAATAAAATCAGGAATCACCAGGGAGGTGGTCTCATATGCTTAGATAAATTTGATTGTACAATATGTCTCCTCTCAATCAAGAGCTAATGTATACAATATTTTGAATATAGATCAATATGGCCTAAATTTTCTGTAAACGATTTATTTACTGTTTGCTTTCTAGTTACATCTGTGGAAAGATTTAATTTATTATTATGACTTTTGCCATTCCCCGATCTCTACACTCTGCCTTGAAAATAATATTGCAAATAAGATACGTTGTTTATGAACAATGTAAACAATTCTGATCGAATGTGACTTTTATGTAAACATTTTTATGACGAATCCTGATCGAATCTGTCTGACTTTTAAACCGTCATAAACTCCTCGGAAGGAGTTGCATTCACTGAATTTCTAATGAAACAAAAGTTATGGACAGAAAAAAATATGCAGAGCAATCAGCCAATTGGAATTTTATCAGGAATGAGATTTTAAAACAGACTCCCCAGACAACCAAGACAATATATACCTTGTGTTACACTTTAATATTTGGCCTTCTGACTGTTTTCTGCTAGTGTTGTATGTTCTCCCCATTTTGAAACCGATTTGCCTCCAAAATGTATTTACAGTTTGATAAAGTAAAGTACTGTAGTAAACCCTAAAGTGAAAACAGAGAGTTCTAAATATTTTTATAGCAGCATGGACTTACAGGCATATCATTTTCGTAATGAAAACTTTCTTTTGAATAATAACTTAAATGGCATGTCTGACTCATTTTTGGCAAATCTTTCGTAAGCGAAATCTGAAGCTCCTACAATGCAATGTCTTAGTTTTGGTAAGCACAATAAAATACCGTTGTTGCGTTGATACAAACCATACGATTGACATTCATGTACTTCCTCGTTTTTATCTTGGATGATACTTCCCCCAAAACCTCAAACCACACAGAAACTTTTTAATTTTTTTAAATGGGATAGATTATCAGCATTACAAAAGTTTGGTGGTTTTTGTCTTTACAGTTTGTATATATACCAAATTTGCTAATAGTTCTTCTGTATCGGTATACAGTTTCCTTCAATTTTATTAAGTTTATGAAAGTTTCCTTCATGCTTTGAATTCACTGTTTTGGTTTCCTGGATGCTGTGATCTAGTGCTTGATGTTGTTTGCCTCATTGTGACCATCAGCTGGTCCTCATTTCTGAAGGTATCTGACATCTGAAAATGTTGTGAACCAACTGCATTTTTCTTCCGATGAAACAGATAGTGGAAGATCCACAACATGGACAGTTTTATGATTCTACGAAATTTTGATTCCCCAACAAAATAAATAACAGGGTTGATTACGTTATTTACAAAATAGGCCCTGGCTAGTAAAGGTAATGTTCCCAGAACCACTGGTGTAGAAGGTAGCGTGTTTCCTTTGTTAAAGGTAGAATTGGCATCCAGGATACAGTCTGGTAAATAGGAGAGAATGAAGGCCACAGTTATAGCAATCATTATCTTTGTAATTCGAGGACTGACTCGATGTTTTTTCTCCTCTGCTTGGTTATGATGTTGGAGTTTAAGGATGACGATCGTGTACAACACAACTAGGCTGAAGAAAACAGAGGTATAGACAACGGTCAAAACAATTGTGTAGACAAAAGGGTAGATTGTCATCTTCACCTTATCATCGATGGAGCAGTCATAACCGATTACACCACCCTTCAAATAATGGTGGCGCATGCCTTGAATAATTGCATTCGGCCAAGCAAATAAGATGGCTACAAATATTGCAATGGTACACAGAATTTGAGCTTGCTTGACAGAGATAGGTTTACTGAATGGTCTGCATATCTTTTTAAATCGGCCAACTGCCATTACCAAAATAATAAATGCAGATCCAATTTTAAAAACATGACCCAAGAATCTTCCCCCTTTGCAGAATCCTTCGATGAAGAACATAAGTGGGTACAAGTTATCCACTAATTCCACAGGCATGGCTATAAGGCAAGATAAGAGGTCCACAGCTGCTAATGTCAGGATGTATGTCCGAAAGGTTGATGAACGGTACCTCAGGGTGTACACAACCAGGACAACCATATTTCCAATGATACCAAAGGCTATAAGAATACACAGAAATATAATTGTAGGAAGTCTCTGTCTTGCCTTTTCATCGTTGAACTCCTCCAATGTTTTAAAGTTTGTGTGCTGTAACGGAGAAGAGACTGTGACTTCCGAAGTGATGTTCATTGTTTAGAAATTCAGTGATATCTGTGTTTACTCTTTGTAAGCCCTGTAATTATAAAAGTGCAGAAAATTAGTTTTATAAGAAGAATAATTTTAATAATACATGTATGCCATGGGATTTTGTGCACATGCATCTGTTCAAGCAGTGATTTATTTTTTTTTTTTTATCTCAACAACTGATTATGTGCCGTATAGTATTTTTGACTCAAAAGAAAACGTTTGGAGGAATACAAATGTAAACAAAAATCTGTTACCATTGCAAAACTCTAATTACTTGGAATTCGATAGCCATTACGTAGAGTAGACACTTACAAAAATGTACATACCACCTATTAGAAATATACATTTATTCATATATAAGAAATTACCATCCATCTTGTATCCTTCTATGCAAGACACGGCCAGAAAACTAAAACGGGGGGGGGGGGGTGAAAAGAAATTAGGTTATCTTATAGCGCATGCTTATCATTTGTTCCGTGTTGAGTTGCTTAGAAGTGGTAGTGAGATATTCATTGTCATTGAAATCTTAAACAGGAAATTGATATCGCCTACGTTTAATTAGGATACTGAAAGCGATACTGAAAAAAACATGTCTTTTTTTATTTGATATTTATTGCAATAGATAATAGTGTAAAAAGAATAAATTGACATCTAAATCTTCAAAGGAAGATGGTACTTATATGGGAAATATGTTAATTTGAATTCACTTAAATTATGTCATAGAAAAAATGTATTGAATGACCTACTGACTGATAGCCCATTTAAAGTCTAAATTTAATAGAAAAATAAAACAACGCATGATATGAATAGACAGTACAATTTTAAATCAGCTTAAATTCTTTATAATATCTTTAACTGCTGTTTATCAAATTTTAAGAACGCCCTTTTTGCATTCTAAAGATGACAGATGATTCTTTAGCAATTTTTTGAATAGGTTTTTTTTTTTTTTTTTTTTTTTTTTTCTTTTTTCTTTTTGAAACACCGTACAAGTTTCATTTTTTTCTTGTTTTTTTTCAAGAACAAAACATTAACTTTTTTCCAATTATCAACAATAAATCTCACCTTTTTGAAGGGCAGCAGCTCACACAGTAACTGTGAAGAGCATATTCTAAACATTCAAAAATAATCGGAGAAAAACTCCAATATATTCGCGTACTCTTTAACACAAATTCTATTAAAGTCAAATGTCCACTTATTACTGAGCTCTTTAAGATTGTAAACAAAGGGGTTTTATGTTCGTGTTATAATTTCCGGGGTGTTTATCTAAATCAAAGTACATGTTATATTTGGAAAAAAAAACTTAATATGCAGTTTTCTTATCATATATAGACCAGAATAAAATAACCAGTCTTAGTACAATTATGAGATAGAAGTAAAGAAAAACAAAGGCGCACGTGTTAGTTATACAATTACAGAATTGTTTTACTTGTATCTTTCCTGCACACTGTGGTGCTCTTGTGATTTGAAAGGAAGTTTTCTCTAAGGTTCATATTGGTCCAGCTCACACCTGGTGCATTGATTCATAACAATATCAGGTTATGAAATGGTTATTTTCTGGAAGATATAGAAGATGGCGAAATGACGACTTATACAAAATGGCATAAGTATGGGATAAGAGTAGAAATTTATTGTTCAGAAGAAGAAGCTAATAAATAAACAATTTTCTGTCGCTGAATCTTACATGTAAATGAGAAACGGACTTGTTACACATATGTATCAAATCACAGTGATTTCTCAAGTAATTTTATATGAATGACAGAAGCCAGGGAAAATATAAGACGAGTGATTGGTGAGTTGATTGACGATGTGTCATCTAATGATTTTTGCTGAACTTAAATATATATATATATATATATATATATATATATATATATATATATATATATATATATATATTTCGATGAAAAGCAACCTTTTAGGATTCCTTATCTTCAATTATAAATCAATGTAAAGAAAAAAAATATTAAAGAAATATGCATCAGATCTAATGAAGATGGGGTTTAATCTTCAGAATTTCTTTTTTATCAGTAACTTCAAAACTTTCAGTCTTTCATTAAAAGTTTAGCTCGATTAGTAAAACTTTTTTTTTAATTCAAAAATACGAGGGGTGATCAAAAAGTTCGTGGATTGATGCGATAGTATTAATACAATGAAGGCTGTGCTTACAAAATTTATGAGGAACATAAAACAACAACAGTTTAAGGAATGTTGAAAATTTTAGCCCGATACGTTGATAATTTGCCAAATTATTATGAATTAAAAATGACATTATATGATCAACCTGCGCTGTCGCCGTTTAGTTTCATTACGACTGACGACGTCTTTGTTTCTCAATGTCCGCTTCCTCTACGTCATACATTATCTTGACGAGATTCCCTGGAGTTAAGTAAGGACTTATAAACCCGACTTGTTTAAATGGCTTTACAATGTCATGAACAGCTGCATTAAATGCATATAATGTTGTAAATTGATTTATACATATGAAGAGATCCTTACTTGATTATGCCAGCATATTTTGCTTGTCGGAGTCAATATCTACCACACATGATCAACGTCACTTTTTGACGTGACTGACTTTTGACACCCCGACTAAATATCGACATTAACTGTGCATATCTCTGAATCTTTTTCGGCGTTCAAAACAAGTACTCTGGATGGATTTTATTTCTCTGTACAATGTTGTCCGTTTAAATATTTCCTAAGGCTATACCAGTTTCTCCAGCGGCGAAACTTTATAGAATGATGGAAAAAGAAACCCTTTCCCCTCTTTGACGTCATTTTCAAGCCTTTAATTGTTTGGACACTCCAAGTTTTTCTCAGTTACACAAGGTAGAAAAAATGTTGTGTTCGAGGTTGCACCGCCTCTTGCGTACAAAATCATTAACAATTTATTAAAAAATTAAAACTAATGATTTGTGGTTTACTCTATCGATAGAAAAGATGATGCTAACTAAATGTGTTAAAATTCATTGAAGTATACCTAAAGCGGTTTTAATTTTATGGCGCTAGTCCACGAACTTTTTGATAACCCCTCTACGTTGTATTTAACCAAAAGGTATTTTTCATTTCCTTTTTATAATTGACAATTTTAAGGAAGTACTACTGTAAGCGTACTTTTTTCCACGAGGTCATAATTCGGCGAAATAACAATTTATTTTACGCGGATTAAGTGGACTTCTTAGATTGGCACTGTATGCTTTTATTGTACTTAAGTTACGCTGGGACAAAATTTCATCGGAAAACTTGTGACCGTGCACATAGTATAAATTAATACCACGCGGAAAAAGTACTTCTACAGTATAACCAATTTAATTATATTTGAAAATAAGTTAAATACGAGTAAGTTGTTTCATGAAAAGTATGAACTCAATACTTTTTAGGAATAAATCCTTTGTTCATGAGCATTGATATTCAAATAAACTCGTAAATAAACAATACTAATACACTGTAACCGATGCAAAATTAAATGGCTATTATAACATTGCAATAATACACTGTTTGAACCCCCCTCCCCCCCCAAAAAAAAAAAATGTTATCCTCCATATTCAATAAATTACAGTTTTCTTTTCAATTGCCACACTGGTATATTAATAGAAAAATGAAAAGTTATATATTCGTTACTCTGTAAAATATTTATTTTATTGAATTTCGTCGAAAATTTCGATGATATTATAAACGATATATAGAAATTCATTTAAATAATGAAATGCTTTCTTTGTTGATTCGGGAATTAAGGTTCATTGGTACTCAGATAAGAGAGATAACTTTTAATGACATAAATGTCTATTTCTCCTTTATAAATTTTGATGTTAAAATTTCTCTCTTGTATAATTTTGTTCCACAAGCTACGCCATAATTGTTTGCATTTTACTTATTAAATACATTCCTTTGGAAAATCATAAGCGTTAAAGTAAAATTTTGTATGAATGAGCAGAGGGTTTATGAACCTTAACAGATGCAACCACTACAAAAAAATAACTTGTTACGAGGTTTATGTATTTTTTTTCTGTAATGGTTGCAACCGTTTATCCCTTCATTAACAAATGAAATAGGTGGAAATAATGAACAGTGATCGATCTCAAAAAACCTACGAGCAATACAAATCTGCGAACAGGGCATAAAACGCAGACCCCTATAAATTCCAGAGGTAGAATCAAATGCCTTTAAAGAGTAAGCATCCCTGTCGACTGTGAGCCTTATATTTTGATCAGGTAGACGGATTAATCCTAAGACTAGTATAAAAACAAAAGCCTAACAATTGGTTTGAAAAATTCAGTCAAATACGATCCCAATGAAAGGTTGTATTTAGTAATATTTAGTAAATAGAATTTCAAAATGCTGACTATAAACGAGGTTGTTGAAATCCCTGTTACATCACCTTACTTTTTCAGTAGTCAGGGCATGCTCTTGGAGGACATAAACACCACATGCAAATGGTAGTGGAATGTAACTACATAAATAAGGAAAGTTGACGACGAAAAAACTGAAGTTCCCATTTGAATTCCAACAGATTGTTGGAAGACATGGTCTCCAAAGACTACATAGATATTATCAATGAGGAACTCCAGCATCTTTTAATATCAACCTCAGAGTACTTGTTTGTAGAATCAGGATGATTTTTAACAAAGTAATTTTGTAGAAGATCAATCGATATCACAATATATATTAAAATTTCCGAGTTCCATTTTTATTGAAGAAGTAGTTGTCTATATCAAAAAGTCTGGTTTTTAATTTATCGTGAGTATATCGTTGTATAAGGTGTAGAAAAGTCATACGTGTTGACATTTCTGACTTTTGAAAAATGATGTGATTTTAATTGTTTGTGAGCGGTAAAGATAGGGTTTGGAAGAACATTTTTTCCCAGGATTTAAGAAAAAAAGGAATTTTATTTTTTTTTTATATCTGTATAAATTTTTCGGATAAAAATGGATGTTAAGTTGTGAAATGTTATATCATTGACAAGTAAATGGAAAAGCCCACCTCTTTAGATATTTTTCATACAAATGGCTTTAAAAATGTTTCAACTAGTTTAGAGTTAATAGATTGGCGAACTGTTTTCATAAGAAATAAAGAACAACATATTCAGAGGATTGAATATTTTACATTTAAAAGATGTTGTAACTATAATAAATATAATTGCAATATATATTACTCAGATATCAAATCTTGAGAAACTTGACAGAATGTTCAATAGCGAGATTAATCAATTCCATTGCTACTGTGATCATCCGGGATTTTAATTTTATTCCTTCTGTTAAAAGTAAATTTTCATTAACAGGGGTTGACATCCCATTGCGAATTCTGTCATTAAAGGAAAAAGATTAACTAAGAATAGGTACAATTTATCTTGTCCAGATAATTCTGCAATTGAAAAAAAAATGTATATGCATGTTTATTTATATCATTGAAAAAGGAGCATGAAATAAGAAAAATCGAGAGAGAAAAATAGTTTGTGTGGCATTATTACAAGTTATGATCGCTATAATACGTTTTTATACTATCACCAAAGCGTTACGGATTAAGGAGAATGTCCTTGCGTCGCGGTTTCAAATCCCACCGCGGAACTTGGAGACCGGTTCTTCGGATGAGACCATATAAACCAAGGTCCCGTGTTGCAATAGGTACCGGCTCGAAAAAAGATCCCTCACTGCTCAAATGCGGTAAGTGCCGACTACAGGTCTAAATTTGGCACTATCCATCGGCAAGTGGTGGCACCTCAGTATGAGTGAAAAATTCTCGAAGGGACTTTAAACAAACAAACTATTACCAAAAATGGATAGGACCTGCAATGATTTTGTTTGAGGTGAAATTGTACGCATTTCTGCAAAATACCCGAATAAAAATAATGTGGTATTGTGATTGTGCTATATATAAGTCTTTCAGACCTTTTGAAGTACTGTATTCTTTCATTATTTTCAAGGAAGTTCCTTTACTTACATTTCCTTATAAGATTGATTGAAGATATCAATACTGAGAATATCATTTGAAATCAAAAAAGGAAGCAATGATAACTAAAGTAATTGTACACAGATATTCTTTTCTTTATTTTTAATTTACATTATTTTCAGTTCAGAATTAATTATTTTGGTCAGACTCTGTGCCAACATCACCGATTTTTCCTATT